CAGCGGCTCTGTGTGGCTGCCAGCAGCAGCAGTATTTTTGCACAGGCCAGCTGTATCACGCGTACAACCTGCCCCTGAAAGGAAGCCAAAGGAAAACTGTGACACTGTAAGTGAAGAAGGAACAAGTTGTCTATATTTTTATTGATACACGGACCTGGCCTCACTAGCTGATGCTCTGGAGTGCGCAGAAATACATTTATACTTAGGAATGATGCTGTGGTAGCAGCCCCTTGAGTAGATGCTTTTATTTCTTGTTAAAAGGAGCCACCTGAAGACACTGTCGATGTCTACCATTACTTTTCACAGAGCACTTAACAGTGTTCACATTTTACACTGTAACTAATAGGATGTGACACCTATATCAAGCAGCTCACAGGTGAAAGTCCCAGGCATGGAAATGTGTATGTATAGCAATTATTTCACATTCCTGGGAGATTTGAGAGAAACTTCGGAGAAAGTCAGCTGCTATAGCTCATGGCAATGTTATATCTCCTGCATTTCACATACGATAATTTCAAACATAGAACATGTAGACTTCTGCCAGACTTGCTGTGTAATTAAATATTCTTCATACAAGCTGTGGAAATAAAACTGATGAAGAAAGAGAGCAAAATGGTAATTCGTACTGCTGTATGTGTGAACTTTTGTAGCAGAGGAAGAGCAGAATGATAGAATTGCCAGGACTCTTCAGTCAACATCAGGGAACATTAAGAAAAAAAAGGAACTCAGCCTTAATAAGAAGAAATTGATACTTCAAGTTTTTGTTACTTCGCACTCTCTTGCTTGCTTTCATTGGGGGAAGAGGTACTATGTTTTTTCATCAGGCATAATGTTTACGCATTCCTACTGTCTGGGCTCTTAGCATGCCTTAACAAAAAAAACCCCAAAAGACAAAAACCAAAAACCATTAAAAAAAACAGTTCCAAGAGCTACTTCTCTTGGGCAACCTGTTCTAGTGGAGGGTGTCCCTGCCCATGGCAGGGGGGTTGGAACTAGATGATCTCTGAGGTCCCTTCTAACCCAAACCATTCTATGATTCTATGATTCTGTTAGATCTCCAAGCCTTAGGTGTGTAAAGGCCATCCCACCAGATGCAATTTGTCCTTTGCTACAACTATTTGTTGTTTCCATACTGGGCCATTTTAAAATTTCCATTTATTTACCTCTCCATGATATTTACATTGCAAAATTTTCCCCTTCTGAGCAGACAAAAAGTGGAGGAAGAGATTGCTCCAAAGTTGAGCAATCTAGAAGTGTAGTGCTGCTGAGGTGCAACTACCACTAACTGCAGTGAAGGTCAAGGGGGCCCAGAGCACTGAACACCTGATAGGATTTGCTTGTCCACCTCTCCATCCATTCAGCAGCTCTCTGCTGTTGTCCATTGCTTGGGTATCAAAGAGCTTTTTAGGTTAAATGGCACAGTATCAGAGAAGTCCCTAGAAAGTCCTATTCTTATTCTCACTGTAAAATTCTAGCTGGACTGAGGTTCAGTGGAATGAACTTCCAGTTGCAGGGCTAATGCCATCTGAGGTTCTGCATGAGTTACATAGATTGGCTAAAGGCTGTACTAGAAAGAGAGACTGAGCTTGCTAAAATCATTTGTACACAGAGTTTGCTTGTGAAAAGTTCTGACTCCTAATTGCTGGTGAGCATGGTGGTGTTTCAGTAATCTGGGTAGCTGAGTGAGCTCTGATAAACCCAACTCCTCTACTCCAAGGGAAAAAATCTTTGACTTCAGCTGAAATCAGCACCATTTCATAGTTCACCATCATTTCACCCTCATGGTTCATGTTATCATTTCACAGTTCCTCTTAATTGTGTTTATTCAAGTTCTACTCCAGATTAAATTGGTTCCTGTCCTACTTTTTTTTTTCCTGAGATCTGCATCAGTCATATGCGGAGAGTCCTGATGTCAGTAACATATAGTATTGGATATCATTTCTGTTTATCATAGAATCATCAAATGGTTTGGGTTTAGGTCATCTAGTTCCAACCCCCCTGCCATGGACAGGGACACCCTCCACTAGACCAGGTTGCTCAAAACCCCATCCTACCTGATCTTGATTTATCAATCATAATTAATTTCCTTTGTTTGTGTATAGTTCTAAAAGACAGAAGCAAATTATATTTTTTCTGACAAGAATTCCTGGCATGTTATAATAGCTTTATGACTGTTTACCAAAAATACAGAGTAAAGGTTACTGCTAAGGACACATCATCAGTTTTTTCTGAGAGAATGATTACTTAGAATTATGAGTCAATACTGAATTGCAGGTGAAACTGATCCTGGTGATCCTGATTCAGAATTGTCTCTGTGTGACCTGATTCTCTCAAATGTAGAGGACCAGCAGCTAAATTTAACTCTATGCTCATAAATTAGCCAATAGTTATTTTTTCTTCCTAAATCTTGCCTATAGAATAGTTGAAGCCACATGCGCCTAGATATCAAGCATCTACAGTCTTTCTGCCACAGTAGCAATGTTTCTTACTTTCAAATGTTAAGAACGTATGCTATGCAAAAAACAATTTTGTGATATAAGAAATCCCCATGGACTTTTATCTATTTTAGCTGTTTCTGGCATGATGGTTTGAGAACAGTAAGACACAGTCATATCAGTGTTAATTTTTTTCTGCTTTACATTTATATACTTTTCAATCAACAAAGCACATATACACCCACAAATACTCACTGCTACTACATTTTCTCTGCAACCATCAGAACTGCTTCTCAGGCAAAAATGCCACCATTCGGATAACAACAAAGGGTATCCTAAGTCCACACACAAATTTACCACAGATAGCTCGTGGACATTCACACCACTGCTGGGAATTGTCCTGCTCCAAGCAAGGCTGCCGTCTCTGTCTCTCCCATGAGTAATGTTGTTTTGCACACCTGTATATTACTGTTACAGGTAATATATACTTAATATAACTCTTCATCTTTGTTGTTTAGGTGATTCACACATGATGCAACCTTTATCCTAAAATCCCTGGGTTCCTCAGCTTTGCAAAAACTGCCTGCTAGGCGTAGGTGGTCCCGGGCTGCTACCCTCTCTGACCAGTGTGCGATAGCAGGGTCGGTGTAATGAAGTCAGCAGGAGCTGAGGGGTATTTCTGACTATTAAATACCCAGTGACTTATACACATTCTTAAATATCCTGTTGGGTCCAAAAGTATAAGACATGTAGCATTTTTGGTTCTTAACCCATAGCCTTAATTTGCCTAACAGAATACTTGGAAGGCTGAAGAGCCTAAGTGGCCATCTCATCCTTACCTTGGCAGTAGCCAAACATGAGTCCTTCAGGAAGAGTGTCATATATATACCACTTTTCTCATAAGTCCTTTTCTTGCCTTCAGTCATTTGCAGCTTAGGGAATTCCTGAACCAGAGTGATTTTATGCATTTAATAACTCTCAATTAATTTCTACTCTATGATCTCATGCAGTCTGCTCCTAGAAAACACATGAATATCCACATCAGCCTATGTCATGGAGCTCTATGTTGATCAAGCATGACATTCGCTGGATTTGGTGCCTTATTGTTCTCGTACTGGGGAAAAAAAAGGAATCAGTCAATCCCCATTCACCTTCTCTATAGCTTCCTTTATTTTATAAATCTCAGTAAGACTCCCACAGTCATCCTTTGTCCAAACTAAAGAGACGTAGCTTCCAAAATTGTTCTGTCTTTAGAATGGTACTATGCCTTTGATCATCTTGTTACCCTTCTTTGAACCTCTCTTAGCCCTATGTCTTTTCTAAGACATTCTTTAAGGGGAAGTGGGGAAAGTATCAGAAGAGGAAATGGTATCTAGGACTGTCAGAGCCCCCAAGTTTTACTCCTGGGTGATAGTTATCAGTTCAGAGCCTCTCATCTTAGGAGTGGAGTCAGGATTGATTTATCTTATGTGCATCCTTTGCCATATTTACACTGAATTATCATTTGACACCTAGTTGATAATTTTCATAAAGCCCTCTGCAATTCTTCTGACAGCCCTACTCTTCCTCTGAATAATTTTGTATCAATCGTCAGCAAACATTCATATTTTGAAACTTTGAATGTGCTGCTCTTCAGAATAGTTCACTCAGTGCTGTCAGTTGTTTAAAAGACAATCATAATTTAACTATGGGGCAGAAAATCTGATGTTGTCCTTGCAGTAGAGTGTCCATGTACACAAGCACAGATATGTTGGACTATTTGTATTGGAGCACAATGTATATAGTAATTAAGTTATTAGTAGCAGTGATGTGAGCTGTCCTACTTTCTGAAGAGGTGAGACTGGAGGTAGGTACACTTACGGAGGAGAAGAATCTTCCACTATTATTGCATATGAGCTACAAGAAGGAAACACCTTCCTAGGAAGCTGACAGCAGCCTTTTTGAGGTCATCCTGTCACACCAGTCTGATACATGCACGTATTCCTTGATTCAGTGATCTCTTATCTCTCTGGTCTCCTGTACAAACATTTGATTGGCCTATAAACATCTATATGACTTCAGAACAGGATTTTCACTAGGAGTTTTAAACATTTTGTTTTCTGGGAGGAGTTGGGTGAATCTCGTGTCACTGGTACTTTTGAGGACACCTGACTTCACTAACAGCCCTTATGATGACAGCTGAAGCCAGTAATAAAACCATTATCTTTCTAGACAGATTCCATCTCCTCCTTGTCCCATGGTGCACACCATCTTTCTTGAGCAATAAAGGTATTCACTTCTGAACCAGAGGAACCAAGAGCTACCATTCAAACAGCCTACTTTGGCCAGGCAGATAGTGGGAAGTATCATCCCCAAATTA